GGCCAATGAATCCACAATTTACTGGTGATGCGAAATCTGTCCTTGCCCCCTGGAGTTCTTAAATTTACAGAACCTCCCCCGAATCCACAGGAAAACCACAAACCATGACAACCAATTTGTGGGTGGCAGTCTTGATCCAGGTGTTAAATTAGACCATTGATCACCTAAACTCCGGTGGGTAACCATGTTGCTCTGAAGCAAAATAAAAAGTCTGAGTCCAGCAACTAAGTTTAATTCTGGGTATAAACTTTTGTGTGCATGCACACTTCTTCACGCTATCTGAAGAAGTGTGCAAGCACACAAAAGCTTATGCCCAGAATTCAACTTTGTTCGTCTTAAAGGTGCCCCTGGACTCAAACTTCGTTCCTTCACCTAAACTCCAGTTCGTGATACATTTTTTCCCCTTCAGAATCTCTCTCTCTCCCCTTTCCCCCTTACTCAAGACTCCACGGACTCCTGTGGCTTTACAAAGGGCCATTCTGTCGGCCAAAAGCTGAGAAGCTCAAAAAGTGTTGTGGAAGAGCCGATGACCTTTTTGATTGAAAAAGAAACTAACATCTCAATAACTTACATACTTGTATCCAGCTAGTATGGCTTTGCTTTTTCCCATTTTGCTTTTGTTAATAGCTATGTGTTTTTAAACATTACCTAGAGTTAGCCATTTAATTAAGTATACATTAATCATTTTGTTTTCCTTTCTGTATTTCTTTTATAGATAACAAATTAGTGAGACTATTCCAAAAAATCCATTACATAGGAACTTCTTGTTTTTCTAATTAATCCTTTTCTTTTCTCTGTTATGTTCTACACTCTAAAGAGGTTCTTTAATGTATGTATATTTTGGAACACTCATAGTAACTATCTTAACTTTTGTGGACTGGCGTGTTGAAAATGTTTATTGTCATGCCTATGACTCTTTTAAGTGCCAAGTGTTGCTGTAAAAATGATGAGAAAAAAGGAATAAAAATTAAATTAAAAAAGAAAGAAAAAGAGAAGGTTTTGATTAGGAGAGAAACGGAGCAGGTGGGCAGGAGGGGGGGGAACGCATCCCAAAGGGAAAAGCCCTGGCTTGGTGTTCGAATGCGCCCGCCCGCAGGCCCACTGCAACGTCACCTCCCGGATCCCCTACAGGAAGCCACGCCCTTTAACGCTTTATCTTCTGCCTGCAGAGCTGGCCGTTTGAGAACCGATATCCTGAGTTGCCCTGTGACCTCCTTCGCCTGGCCAGCAGAAGGGATCAAAAGAAACCCAATGGGATCGAGAGGGATAGATTTCTGAAGGATATCCTGCCCTACTGTCTGGGTGACGGCCTCTTTGGGTCAAGAGAGTTTGCCCGGCCCCCTGCCGAAACTTTCTTTTGCCTCGACTGGTCTCACACTCTGAAGGTCTGATCTGCAGCTTAATGGGGGTGGGGGGTGGGAAATTCACCCCCTTATCCAGGTGCTTGCTGACCTGGTGTGCACATGTGTTTTCGCTGGCCTGGCAGCGTGTGGGTCTGCAAGCACATGCCAGCTGTGGATCTGCTCTTAATTTACGGATTCTTTTGGTACTGACTTGGGTTAATCTGGAAGAGGATGGGCTATTGGTGAGTGGGCAGAACCTGATCTCTGCAGCTAAAGGACTGGGGGGGGGGGACTTCTGGTTCCGAAGCTGCTCCTCTTAATTCTACAATGGTCCTCCCTCTAAGAACTTTTGTATAATTAAGGATTGATATTAATAAAGGGGTTGTGCAATATCTTTTGTGATATATTAAGAGACGATACTTCGATGTTTTGATATAGGATTCTTTCTATGTATTAAGGCTTATATGATAAATAATATATGGTGAATAAATTGTAAAAATATAAAACAACAAATATATAAAAATTATTTGAGATGTTTTATAATCGTCTGTAGCACGGTATTTGCTGATTTGCTGATTTTTGGTATCTCTTAATTCTACAGCATCAATCCCCCCAAATGGTGCCCGTTAACACCTTTTTTGGCCCTGCCAAGTGTTTTGAGAAAGGGGGCAAGGCCAGGCAGGGCTTTTACCCAGTGGAGGTTTGATTGGCTCATCAGATTTCTATAAAAGTTGCTTCGGCAGCAGCGGCCGCCACAACACAAAAGGATCTTCACTGTGTGACTGAAGGAAAGTCGCCATTTTGTGGCTTTGCCCACCACACGGTGTCAGAGTTCCAAAGGTGGCCACAGGCTCAAAGAGGTTAGGGATCCCTGTTCTACCGTAAAAAAAAAGATTCTACTTGGTGGGTCTAGCACTAAGACAAGGCTAGATCCGACTTTCTTTTAACTACTGAGATCTCTCCTTTGCTGACCAGCCGCTAAGCAAATGCTGATGGTGGAAAACAGGGATACCCTCCTCTCCTGTGTTTCTGTTTGGGAGACTGGGATACAATGCCCCACTGTGCCGCGCAATGTACTTGGTGGATATGGGATCAGCCGCACACTCTCAGCCTCCTATAACTCAACAGGGTTGTTGTGAGGAAAAAATGGAAGAAGAATCATGTACACTGCCCTGAGCTTCTTGCAGGAGGGGTAAGATAAAAAACGCACTTTGTGAAGATGTTGCTACGGAACTCTGTTCAAGCCCATCTGCAATAGCCCCTCTAGGCCTGCACTGACTCATCATGTCAAACCATGTATATTTAGATCTCTTTACCCCACTTTTCTCCCCAATACAGACACTAAGCAGGCTTGCCAGCCCCCCAGGTGGGGGATCCCCCGGTTTCAGGGGCTTCTCCCCACTGCGGACCAGCCGGCCAGTGGGGAAACCCTGCCCCTAAACAGGGACGTCACCGTGCAATGTCCCTGACGCGATGACATCACCCAGAAGTGATTTGGGCAAACTCTATGGTTTGAGGGTGACAAAACCATAGAGTTTCACCCAAATACCACAGCACCCACCCCTGGAACACCCCCCCAAATCCCCTTGCCGGAGCGACAAGGGGACCTGGCAACCCTAACCCAAAGTGGCACACAACATCATTCTCTCCTCCTCTATTTTATCCTCAGAGCCCTCAATCACCCTGTGAGGTAGGTTAGGCGGAAAGAGGGTGGCTGGCCCAAGGTTCACCTGGTGTGCTTCCATGATAGAGTGGAGATCTGAACCCAGCTCTCCCAGGTCCTGGTCTGTCATTCTCACGCCTTCACTACGCTGCTGCCCACCAGCTGTGCATGCATGGCGAACTACCAAACTGCAACAAACCTCCTGGTGTGCAAAACACAGGAGGTCACACTCTGACACGTCACAGCACATGGCTACTGGGCCATAAATTGTGTTGCCTGGGGTAGGCACCCCCTCCCCGTATCATCTCCCAAATTGCAACTAGGCAACACTGCTGGAGATGAAACAATGTGTGAGCCCCACCACCCCACGGAGGATCTCACCCTCTACAGAGTGTATGAGTGTCTCTGGGCAGCATTTCCTACTGTATGAACGGTGTCTTTTGGGGAAGGTGCAAGAAACCAAGGGTTGCTTCTTCAGTGTTCCAGTGATGGGGCATAACGTGCCACAATGCCCCCTAGGGTCAAGGAGGAGTGAAAGAGGGGTATTATGCAATTGTAAGAACATGAGCCCTGCTAGATCAGGCGAGTAGACCATCTAGCCCAGCATCCTGTCTCACATAGTGGCCAACCAGTTCCTCTGGAGTGAACACCAGGGCATAGAGAGCGAGGCCTTCCCCTGATAAGAACACAAGAAGAGTCCTGCTGGATCAGACTAGTGGTCCATCTAGTCCAGTATCGTGTCTCACACAGTGGCCAAATATAAGGTCAACGGTCGTGTAGGTCTGACCCGCAATCAACAGTCATACGACTTATAAGAATTGCTGTACATGTATTGTGCTCTGAAGCATTACAATATGATATACAACTTAATAGAATCTATAAACCAAGGTACAACGTCGTCTCCGGATTATTTACCAACGTTTCAAAAAATGAATCTTCTTCAGGAAGTTTTCTGTAGTACACAAAAATGTAATTTTTAGGATATGTATAACACCAATCACAAGAAACAAGAGACAATACAATAATCTTATTGCTTACTTACATAGAAGTGCCAAAGCTCTCATTTTCATAGAAGCTAGGTAACAAGTCTTAAGCATCTGCAACATAATGATTTTATCTTTGTTATGAATATATATAAGATATTTCAAAATATTTCAAATTACAACTAATCAGCCTAGTAATAACTCACATCACGATTCAGTAGGACGCTGATCTCAATTAACACTCCGTGGTTTTTTCTGGATCCTCGGCGTCGTTGTTATCTAGCTTCTAAAATTACATTTTACATTTTAAATTACAATTACATTTTTGTGTACTACAGAAAACTTCCTGAAGAAGATTCATTTTTTGAAACGTTGGTAAATAATCCGGAGACGGTGTTGTACCTTGGTTTATAGATTCTATTAAGTTGTATATCATATTGTAATGCTTCAGAGCACAATACATGTACAGCAATTCTTATAAGTCGTATGACTGTTGATTGCGGGTCAGACCTACACGACCGTTGACCTTATATTTGTTCATCTGTTTTAGTCGTGTGTGTCCAGATTTTTTTTGTCACACAGTGGCCAACCAGTTCCTCTGGAGGATTCTGCTGCTGTTGCCTCCTGGCACTGAGATTTAGAGGTTGACTGCCTGTGGATGTGGAGGTTCTTCTCAGTCACCATGGCTAGTAGCTATTGATAGACTTATCCTTCCTGAATCTCTCTAATCCCCTTTTAAAGCTGTTTATTCCTGTGGCCATCACGGCATCCTCTGGCAGCAGATTCCACATTTTAATCACTCCCTGTGTCAGGCAGTATTTCCTTTTGTCCGTCCTGAACCTACTGCCCATCAGCTTCCTTGGACACCCTTGAGTTCTAGTCTTTTTGAGAGAGGGAGAAAACTTCTTTTTGTTAACTCCTTGCACCTCATGCATAAAAGTCCCAGACTCTTCAGCCTTTCCTCCTGGGGAAGGTGCGCCAACCCCCTAAAGTAAAGACAAAGGTACTTACCTGACATACTGCTTTTCACCGAACATTGGCTGCTTTTTCTTTTACGTTTCCCATCCGGCCACCTTTGCAGGAGGAGGAGAGGTGGAAAGGGGGGGGGGGAGAAAGAAAACAATGTCAATTTTGCACCTTTTAGGGACTCAGGCAACCCCACTCCTCCACCTGCCGCCTTTATAAACGGTGTTGCTGTTCCGCCGCCTCAGGCGCCCAAGATTCCTCCGCTCACCTTCGCGCTTCACGCAGCCTCATTTCCACCAACCCACTCCCTTGCAGGAAGGCAAGAGAGGAATGAGAGGACTCGCATTGCGTTATCTGGAAGGAGCAGAGGCGATAAGGGGCCCGAGGAGAAGTTGTGCTGCGCACACGCAAGCACACCATAACTCACCCCCTCCCACAACCTGGGATTCACATGGTGTCCTTGCTATGGCCTTAATACCTTGCTACGGGACCCTCACACTCGTCTGCATGGGCTTTCCGATGAGAAAAGTAGTCTGATCCATATACTTGTCCCCTGCTCCTATGGATAGGTAGCACTGGAGTGAGATGTATTTATACCAGGGGTCCCCAACCTGTTTGAGCCTGTGGGCACATTTGGAATTCTGACACGGCATGGTGGGCGCAGCAACAAAAGGGCTGCCACAAAGTGGCTGCTGCAGGAGGCGGAGCCAGCCACAAAATGGCTGCCACCGCGTAACTTCAGTCACGCAGCGTAGGTCCTTGTGCTGTGGCGGCAGCTGCTGCCAAAGCAACGTTTTAAAAGGATTTTAAAAGAATTTTAAAGAAAAGAACATTTCCAATAATTAATCAGAAGCCTTGCTAGGCAAACGCCCTACCTGGCCCCACCCGCTTCCTGAAGAACTCAAGTCTTCCCGATCCTAGCCTGGAATTCTAACCACTATAGTACCATGCTGGAAAGCGGATGCAGTATGCAAAGAGCTAGGCTAAAACCTTTTTACCCTTAGGCTAGAACCTGGTGTGCTATATCTTTTTTTTATTTGCCAGGAATTTTCACATGGGCGGCATTAAGAATGTGACTCTAGGCCAAACTACATGTTCGGACTTCTGACGGACCTCCCCTCCATGAAACTGTCTAGATCCCTTTTAAGGCCATCTATGTCAGTAGCAGGGGTCATTTCCTGCAGGAGCACACAGGAGCGGAGCTCTGGCAGTAAACAGCCCAGGGGGTGGGCACAGGCAACAAGCCCCGCCCTCTGCTCCCAGCAGCCCTCAGTCAGAGCAAGAAGCAGCCAGGTAAGTTGCAGAGCCCCCCCACCCCCCGGTCCAAAACAGTCCAGTGGCACCTTTAAGACCAAGTTTTATTCATGTACAAGCTCTCCCTCCTCTGCGAGGACAAATCTACGCGTTCCCCCCCCCCCATAGCTAGCAATCCAAAACAGTCCAGTGGAGCCTGAGCGGTGGGCATTGCCTTCTGACACACTTCTGGTGATGTCAGGGGGTGTGGCATATGCAAATAAGTTATGCTAATGAGTTGTGCTAATGAGCTCCTGCCCCTCTTTTTCTACGAAATGACCCCTGGTCAGTAGCCATCACTAATCTCCATGGGAATCACATTTTAATCATTCATCGAATCACTTGATTTGTTGGTTCTGTGCCTGGCGTTGCCAGCCTCCAGACAGGGCCAGGAGATCTCCTGCTATTACAACTGATCTCCAGATGACAGAGATCTTTTCCCCTGGAGAAAATGGCTGCTTTGGAGAGCGGAATCTATGGCATCGGACCCCACTGAGGTCCCTCCCCTCCCCAAACCCCGCCCTCCCCAGGCCCCACCCCCAAATCTCCAGGTATTTCCCAACCCAGAGTTGGCAACGCTATCTGTACCTACCGCCCATCACCTTCACTGGGCCGCCCCTGAGTCCTCATATTATCGGGGGGGGGGGAATCACTGCCCACTTTCTACACCCATGCAGAATTTTATAAGTCTCTGTCATGTTCCCCCTTATTCTACCCCTCTGAAAAGCCCCAGATTTCATAGGAAGGGTGCTCTAAGCCCTTTAATCATCTCGTTGGCCCTCTTCTCTACTTTTTACAACGCTGCAATTTCCTTTTGGGGACACGGTAACTAGGACTGCACACTGTACTCCAAATGAGGACTCACCTGTGATACAGGGGCATCACAATTTTGGCCATTTTCTTTTCAGTCTCTTTCCTAATAATCTCCAGCATGAAGTTTTACCCTTTTTGCCACTGAACAAACACGAACCTGTTTCGTATTGAATCAGACCACTGGTCCCTCAAGGTAAGCATTATCTACTCAGACTGGTGGTAGTAGTAGAAGAAGAGTTGGTTTTTATTCCCTGCTTTTCTATACCCTAGGGGCCACGGTGGCTCAGAAGTTAAGATGCTGAGCTGCACACCGGAAGGTCTGTAGTTCGGCAGTTCAAGACCCGAGTGCCCCGTGATGGAGTGAGGTCCCATCTCTGGCCCCAGCTCCTGACAATCGAGCAGTTAAAAAGCAAGAAACTGCAAGTAGATAAATAGGTACGACTTCGGTGGGAAGGTGACAGCATTCAGTGAGCCTTGGCATTTAGTCATGCCAGCCACATGACCACGGAGAAGTCTTCGGACAGCGCTGGCTCTTCGGCTTGGAAATTGAGATGAGCACCGCCCCCTAGAGTCAGATTCAACTGGCTTTCGAGCAAGGTAAACCTTTACCTTTTACTTTCTCTACCCTATGGAGTCTTAAAGCAGCTTACAATTGCCTTTCTCTTCCTCTAGCCACAAAAGGCACCTTGTGAGGCAGGTGGGGCTGAGAGAGTCCTGAGAGAACTGTGACTGGCCCAAGGTCACCCAGCAGGCTTCATGGGGAGGAGGAGTGGGGAATCAAACCCAGTTCTCTGAATTAGAGTCCACCACTCTTACCCCACTACACCACACTCCCCAGGATCTCAGGTTTTCACATCTACTACTACCTGCTCCTTCTAACTGGAGGTGCTGAGGACTGAATCTGGGACCTTCCTCATACCAAGCAGATGCTCTACTACTGAGCCATCTTCCCTCCCCATAAAGCCACACACAGAGTCAGTGTTTCATTGAACTAAACACTGCATCCAGCCCCCTGTCAGGAAATGGACCCTCAAACTCTGAGACTACAGACAAAACACACCCCTCAAAAATTATTCAAACCAGTGTGATTAAAACCAGAGACAGCCCACAACGAGATCAAGATGGGTAGCCGTGTTAGTCTGTCACAGCTAAGTATTCAGCAGGGAAGTCAGCACGGTGCCCGCAGAGATCAAGCGAGATGACCGAAGTGCCTTCGGACATGAACTCCGGAGCCACGAGGCCGATAGAGAGAAGGCACCTTTGGCTGGAGTAGGCTTACCAGATCCCTTCGTCGCTCCAGCAGAGGGATGGGGGGGGGGTTTTTTTTTCCCCCGGGCGTCCCCAACGTGATGACATCACCCGCAAGTGACATCGTCACAGCGGGGATGTCATGCGGCGACACTCTGGTTTGAGGGCAAAACTCTATGGCAGGGATGGCCAAACTGCAGCTCAGGAGCCACATGTAGCTCTTTCACACAGTCTAATTTAATGTTAATAAAAAGTAAATTTGCATATTTCCCAATCAAAACGTGTGCGTGATATTTGTTCATGTCTTGCGGCGCTCAATCACCCGACGTTTATTCTGTGTGGCTGTTACATCAAGCAAGTTTGGCCACCCCGCTCTATGGTAAAACTGGAGTAGAACCATAGAGTTTTGCCTTCAAACCAGAGTGTCCCCGGCATGACGCCCCTGGTGTGATGATGTCACTTCCGGGGGACATCATCATGTCGGGGACGTCATGCGTAGATGTGGTTGTTTGGGGGTGGGGTTTCCCCTGCTGGCCACCCGGCTGGCGGCAAGCCTAGGCTGGAGCCACTGACTGTACTTCAGATGGTGATGGGCCACTGAAAAGGACCCCCACAGATGGTCTCAGTGCCTGGGTGGGTCTATTTCTGGGTGTGGAATCATGATTTGCAGGAAAAGTCCAAACTATAGTTTATGGGACTCAATGGGGAAAGTGGAGCTGGCCGTGCAAGAAGAGCAGGGGACAAAACAAACGTTCAGGTGGCAGCGAGGCATCCTTGGCCATTAAGCCTGAATTGTTCCACACAGCAAGAGGGGCGTTACAAGGACAGACAGGGCTGGTTCAAGGGCTGACACGTCCTACTAGCATCTGGGAGACACAAAGCAAATCCCTACCCTGCCACAGAAGCGTGGTTGCCAACCCCCAGGTGGGGCCTGAAGATATCCTAGAATTGCAACTGATCTCCGGATGACAGAGGTCAGTTCCCCTGGAGAAAATGGCTGCTTTGGAGGGCGGAGCCCTACTGAGGTCCCTCCCCAAGGCTCCAAATCTCCATGAATTTCCCAACTTGGAGTTGGCAGCCCTCCATGGCAGCTCACTGGCTGACCGTGGGCCTGTTATACACTCTCAGCCTAACCTACCTCACGAGGTTGTTGTGAGGATAAATTGAAGGAACGGGAGGAGAATGTTGTAAGCCACTTTGGGTCCACATTGGAGAGAAAAGAAGTTTTAAAAAATGATTAGATAGATCTCCTGGGGCCACACCACTCCCAGCTTGGATGCATCTGGAAGGAGTGGGGATGCCAGCCACTTCCTGTGCTGTTGAGCCAGTTTGGTGTAGTGGTTGAGTGCGCGGCCTCTAATCTGGGAGAACTGGGTTTGATTCCCCACTCCTCCACTCGCACCTGCTGGATGACCTTGGGCAAGCCGTAGTTCTGTCAGAGCTGTTCTCTCAGGGACAGTTCTGTCAGAGCTCTCTCAGCCTCGCCTACCTCGCAAGGTGTCTGTTTTGATGAGGGGAAGGGAAAGGAGTTTGTAAGCCGCTCTCAGATTCCGAGTGAAGGGTGGGGTATAAATCCAATATCATCATCATCTAGTTAGCATCTCTTCTTCTTCTTCTTCTTCTTCTTCTTCTTCTTCTTCTTCTTCTTCTTCTTCTTCTTCTTCTTCTTCTTCTTCTTCTTCTTCTTCTTCTTCTTCTTCTTCTTCTTCGTTGTTGTTGTTGTTCAAACCAAGCCCCTGAACAGCATCTGTCC